TGCTTCAGCAAGTGGCAAGAATGATGGAATAATTATATTCAAATCTACAGAGAGTATTTTGAGGGGGGTTAATGACAATGTGTCTTTTACTGTAATAAATCTATTTAAATGTAAATATTCACCATATATTTTGATCTCCACATATATATAATGTACTACTTATTCAGCGATAAAAAGGAATAAGATAGGAACTGCACCATGCATGAATCTCAAAAAACATGATGCCGAACAAAGGAGCCAGACATAAAAGACCACATAGTGTCTGATTTGAAATTCTAAAATAGGAAAACTAATCCATCATTACAAAAAAATAATTAGTGGGTGCCTGGTAAAGTATCCGTGGATGACTGCAATGGGGTATGAAGAGATTTGAGTGGTGATGGAAATGCTCTACGTCTGGACTGCACTTATACTTGGTATATTTTATTATATGGAAATTATACCTTACTATAGTTGATTTCTTAGGAATTTCTTGATACTACCACTTTGTCCAACTGATACAGGAGATGAAATGTGAAATGTTATATCTCCCAACCTGTTAGATGTCTGATACGCTGAGCCTGTGTTCTCTAAATATCAAAAAGTGAATTCTTAAGAACAGCAGAGGTTAAGAGTAGGAAAATATTTATTGCGAGGAAAGCTCCTGAGCAGCAGGAGGGGTCCTGAATGGGTACCCAGGGACCCTACTTTACAGGGAAATCTAATAGAGCAAAACCCACATGGGAACAAAGTGGTTTGCAGCTGTGATTAACCAATAAGGTTGCAAGTACAGTCACTTAGGTAATAGTGATCCAGTGGGGGAACAAGTCACATAACAAGTGTGCATGGAAAGAACAAAGGCTTCTAGGAAGTGGTGGGTCCAAAGGTCTCTGGTCACCCACTGAGGTGACTGATGTCTGTCTAGACTTCATTAGGCCCAGTGTTTGTCCTTTGAGGAAATATGCAGGCCTGGTCATTTGCCCTTATCTTAAGGCTGGGTCCCTCACAGCTGTGTATCCAGCTGCAGTTGTGGTGTTTCACCTTTGTCCTGACCCTCTCAAGGGCCCAGCCCTGTCTGACTGCCTATAATAACTCTACCTAACTGGGCTGTCTATAATACAACTATTGTTCCTTTTCTCTGATCCCATGCAGCTACACTTTCAAACAGAGTTATCTCTCATTTTTAACTCCATTTCTACTTTTCATTCTTAGGAGTCCACTCTACCCACTCTGAGCCAGGTATATGATCCCAGCAAGCCACACTATTCTTGTTAAATTACTAATGGTTTCAATATCCTAACTTATCTTTTTTCTTGTTGTGGTGCCAGAGTTTGGACCTAGTGCCTTGCATCTGCCAGGCAAGTGCTCTACCACTGAGCTGCAGCCCCAGCCAATTTCCTAATGTATTTATCAATTTTATACACCTTCTCCCTTCCTTCTTCTTGCCATGGTTAATGACACCTTGGTTCTCCTCCTACCCCACTGTCAGTTCTTGGTCTGCCTTACTGGTTTCTTCTCATCTTTCCCACCTCCACTCATCATATCTTCATGTTTAGAATCCTCAGTTTTTTCTCTACATTCATTTCCTAGGTTACCCATTCATTCTCTGACTTTAAATATTGTATATAAACCAGTAACTCCCAAAGCTGTATCTTTATCCCAGACCTCTTCCTGGACTCTACACTCACATTTCAGCTGTTATTTGTCATTCCACTTGGAGGATTAAGAGTTATCCCAAACTCAAAACGTCTGTGGAAGCCAACTAATGGCCTACAGAGGTATCCAGCCAAATGCTACCTTACTGACAAAGAAGGCTTGGATCTGATTAATGATCTTGAAATGAGGAAGTTAACTTGGATCACCCAAATTGACCCCAAATATCACCTCCAGCATCCTTGGTAGATAGAAGGAAGTGTGACTACAGGAGAAGGCAAAAAACGTTGGCCGGCAACAATAAATAAGAGGCAGGCTTTGAAGGTGGAGGAAAGAGCCACAAGCCAAAGCAAGCAAGCAATGCAGTTCTAAAAGCTAGAAAAGGTAAGGAGACAATTGCCCCATAAAGCTTTTAGAAGAAGTCTGGCCCTCTGTGCCTTGGTTTTGGCCCTGTAAAACTGATTTCAGGCTTCTAACCTTCAGAACTATCAAGAGAATAAAGCTGGGTTGTGTTAAGCCATTAAATTTGTTCTAATGTGTTAGGGCAGCAATAGGGAATTAAGGCAGTGTCCTACTGTGACCTCTAACCTCTCACCCCCCCCACACACACACCATTCTTGTTCTCTGACAGTGGCTCAGGAAAAAACAATCCTGGATAAATAGTGCACAAAAGGGAATTGGTCTTTTGCACAACTATAGTTCTCAACAGGTCAAAAACATTTTAAAAATGTTTTTGCTGAACACATAATAAAATATATTCAGAAAAATAGAACATAAAGTCAATATATAACAATTTTAATACCCCAAAGGTTAAGCATAGATTTTGAATCCATAAAACAAGAATGAGATAAGTAGTATTAAGAATCAATATAGGGGGCCAGAGATTTAGCTCAGTGGTGTCACCACCTGCCTCACAAGCACAAGATCCTGAGTTTGATCTCCGGTACTGCAAAAAAAAAAAAAAAGAATCAATACAGGGTTGGGGATTTAGTTCAGTGGTTCTGCCACCTGCCTCGCAAGTGCAAGGTCCCGAGTTCGATCCCCGGTACCAAAAAAAAAAAAAAAAGAATAAGTATAAATAGCTCTTTGAAACTGAAAATATATTGTCTAAAATTTTTAAAAATTCAAATAAAGAAAGAGTAAAATGAAAAAACTGAGGATAGCAATATACAAGATTTTTTAAAGTTAAGATTCACTTTTTTTTGGTACCGGGGATTGAACTTGGGTCCTTGTGCTTGCACAGCAGGCGGCAAAACCACTGAGCTAAATCCCCAGCCCCTGTTAAGATTAACTTTTAATGCTAATCCAAAATTAAGACAGAGGCCCATGATCCAATTAACAAAAGGTCCACGTACAGAGAACAAAGAAACAGAAAAGAAGTAAAAAAAATTAAAGAATTTTTTAAAACTGGGGATCTTCAAAAATCTGTGGGTCTTAGAACTGCTGAAAGAACTCACAGGAGCACTTATGATGAGTTATAAAAGGCCCACATTGAGGCACATCAGCAGGGAATTTTAGAATGCCATAGATAAACAGAAAATCCTAACAGGTTATACAGATTTAATAATATTGTCACTTACAATGAAAATGAGTTAGAATGAATCTGATTTATTTTTTAACCAAGTTTATTAAAGCATAGCTGACCAAAAAATGTATATACTGTATTACCTCTCAGCATTCTGGGAGGCTGAGGCAGGAGGTTTGAAAGTTTGAGCCCAGCCTGGGCAATTTAGCAGACAATTTAGAGACCCTATCTCAAAAAATAAAAAACGGACTGGGGATGTAGTCTAATGTGAAGGCTCTGGGTTCAATATTCAGTATTACCAAAGAAAGTGTATATTTAAGGTGATATTTTGATGAGTGTACCTTGGAAAATGATTACCATCATGGAGCAAATCAACATATCTCTCACCTCACATAGCTCCATTTTGTGCATATGTGCTTGTGGTAAGAATACTTAACATCTGCTCTCTTAGCAGATTTCAAATACACGGCGTATTCCTAACCACAGTCCCCATGCTGTAGGCATCCGACTTCTGAATAGCAGAGCTGTTATTACTGAAGGCTGTTGAGTGGAGAGTCTTAACGAAGCACTCTACAGCAAGCCATACAGTGAATTAACCCAGGTGTGACGCAGAATGAAGACATTTCAGATTGCACAAAAACTCAGAAAGCATGCTCTCAAGTACAGGCTGTGCTTCAAAACAAAATCATAGGAAAAAAGGGAAAGGAAATTCAGGAGACATGGATTCAGGACCCAAGAAGCCTCATGAAGACTCTCAAGCTGAAGATCTACTGAAAAAATAATCCCAGAGGGGAGAGGCGCAAAGGTATAGAAAGAGGGAGAGAGGGAATCAAGGGAATGGAAGCTATGGGTTTGTTTTGTGAACTTGGTTTAAAAACTATTAACAGATGTTTGACAAGTCTGCTTGAGCATTTAGAAACAAAATCATCAGTGCACACAACAAATAAAGCAAATGAAAAAATAAAGCAATTATTAACATCAAGACTGAAAGGTTACACAAAGAGAAGATGCAATCATCACATAACTTGCATCTGCCATTAGACAACTTGAATGCTCTTTGGGATATGGATGCTGGGCACTGATTAGACCAGTGCTGTGGCTATAACAACACTGTGAGACCAGGCAGGGGCTGAGCCAGCATGGGACCAGAGGAGAAAGAGAAGGACCTGAAGTTCCATCCAGTGACAGAGCAATGTCCATCACTGAAGAAATACAAAGTGCCAGAACATACACATCGATCAAGATATTACAATAAATTGCAAACTAAATAGCAAAAAGCCCAGTTAGGTGCTTCTAAATAGAACGCGATCACCTTGGGTAGATCAAGAACAGGGGCTGCTGTTTTCTTTGCTGGGTTCTCCTCCCCAATTGTGTGTCGCTTTGGTGTGTGAATAACACAAAGGTACAAATGAGTACAACTAAACAGAGAGCCAGAGCAGATAGGAGGAGGGGAGTTCCACAGAGAGCAGGGACAACGACACAGAATCCCACCTCACCACCTGGAGCAGAATGTGGACAGAAAGGACAGGTGACAGATGTCGCTTCCTCACACCTGGCTCCAGGTGCTCATTAATCTCTTTGGGAGGAAGGAATTGGAAATTAATAAAGCAATACACTCTTTTATCATTTTTAGGCTTTGCACATGAACTTTTATGTAAAAATCTGTTCATGGTTCTCTCATAAATACACAGCTTTAGTCATTCCAACATACATGCTCATCAGCTCAGGAGGTCCTGAGATCAAGTGCCCTGGGGCTGTCAGAGATGACCTACACTCCCAGGCTTTTTCCTTTTTAAATTTTGAGGCAGCGTTTTGCTAGGTTGATAAATTGCCTAGGCTGGCCTGGAACTTGCACTCCTACTGCCTCAGCCTCCCAAGTAGCCAGGATTACAGGCATGAGCCACTGCACCCACTCTTTTCCCTCCCTTATATTGGTTAATGCTAAGCTTTTTTTTTTTTTTTTTTTTTTGTACCAGGGATTGAACTCAGGACCTTGCACTTGCAAGACAGGCAGCAGCACCACTGAGCTAAATCCCCAGCCCGATGCTAAGCTTTTTTAAAGAGTGTTTTTAGGGGCAGTTTTAATGGCTCACAGCAAAACTGAGCAGAAGGTAGAGATTTCTGTACACTCCCTCCCCTGCATGTGCAGTCTCTCCCAGAATGGACATTCTGCCCAGAGTAGTGAATTTGCACTGTTGGTGCAGAACCAACTAATAAACCTACACTGACGTATTTGCACCAGGACTCACTCTCACTGCTGGACACTCCATGGGTTTGGATGAAGGCATAGTGAATGGCATGCGTCCAACACTACAGCACCATACAAAATACTTTCACTGCCCTAAAACTCTTCTGGTTGTACATCTTTTAATTGAACAACCAGTTTCTTCTTCACTAGATAAAAATATATTTTTAACTCTAAAGTTGGCCTTGGAGGTGGCTAAGTTAACAGAAATTGAAGTCGTTTTACCTACCCACACACTAGCAGTGTGGAGACCAGGGAATCATTCATCTAATGGCAGATACCAACACCGTAAGGATTAAGTTGTTTGTCCTAAAGAATCAAATGCAAAAATGTTTAAACCTATCTGAGGAGAGACTGGAGGAGGAGATATTAGTGTATCTGTTATGCCTACGATGATACAAAGTTCACATGGCAAATAACAGCACCTGAGCAGCACCAGATGCAAAAAGCACACACAGAGGGCCAAAGATTTAGCTCAGTGGCACCGCGCCTGCCTTGAAAGTGCAAGGTCCTGGGTTTGATCCCCATACCAAAAAACAAAAAACAGAACTCGAGCTCCACAGAATGGCCTGGAACTAATGTTATCCCACTAAAACAGGCTCTGAAATAAGACTAGAAGAGGAATTTTTAAAAGTTTTTCAGTCATGAAATCATCATTAAAATGAATACATGGTTTCCCACAATGGTTCTTTTGAAGAACACAATGTATATTTAGAAGTAGGCATTTCCTTTTGCTTGCTAAAATTTAGTCGCATGTCTTTATACTACACTTGATTTGTGCACATAATGAAAGGCAGTTGGAGGGAAAAATGACGTTAGAAGTTGGTGATCCAAGAAACACTACAGGAAGTAAAATTTAAACTGGTGACCCAAAGCTCTGGAGAGACACAATAAGAAAATGAGGTACGTATTTTCTAAGATGTCATTTAATGCCACAAGTAGTCAAAGTAGAAACTCAGAAAGAACAGTCTTGGGTACAACGTCCTTGTCATTATCCCAGAAAATGTTTATGTACCAAATATTATGTAGCAACTTCCCCATTTCATAAAGCTGTAGATTGTCAAATATTCTTGTTAACTAGAGACAGAATTCTGAGCAATATTCCCAGCTTTTTAGTCTCTTTGTTTTCAATTAGCAGTCTAGCCTTATGTTTTTAAAAACATCCTCTCTATTCTATTATTTTTAATGATAAAGATCCCTGTATAAAACTTTAACATTATCATCATCTCGTGAAAAATTAAAAATTACATGCCAAAAGTGATAAAAGAAGCATTATTCCCCCCTTATTCTTTGGGGAAAAATAATGAAGAGGGAGCATTGTTTTGCTATCTTCTGATCTTCCAAGCACGTGAGGGCTGGAAAATGGAATCACTTAAATAACAACCCAGATTGTTTCCTCTCACAAAACAGAATAATAGTGGGAACATTTTTGTGACTCCAAGGAAGCAAATGTTTCTAATTAGCGAACAAAATCGGCTGAGGTAACTGCTGTGGGTACACAAACAACAAAATCGCCCAAATTCTGTTTGTGAAGGTTGCCACCTACTGGAGAAGATGCAGTACTACAGCTGGCTTTCGGGGGTTGGCGGGGAGGAGCCGGGGATAAGGAGGGCAGCCGTGGGACAGTCACACAGCGGCAGAAGTCAGAAGCCAGGGAGGGGACCTCTGCCTGGGCCTTAGGGGGGTTTTAGGGCTTAACCAAGGGCAAATAGAGTCTGTGAAGCGGAAGCCATGCGGCCCAGACACAGAGGTAAGAAAAGCCATCGGAGGCCAGGGTTCAAGGAGCAGATGACTGGCTGAGGATTGTTAGCACTGGGAATTTGTGGGAAATGAGATGATTCCTAGGGCTTGGGTTGATAGGTAAGGACTTTTCCCCAAAGACAAAAAGAAATCATTGAAGGCTTATCAAGGCTTGCGTGGGCAAATGACCTTCAATTAAGAACCAATGAAGCTGGGTGTGGTGGTGCACGCCTGTAATCCCAGCACTTGGGAGGCTAAATCAGGAAGGAGGAAGGCTACGAGTTTGAGGCCAGCCTGGGCTACATAGTGAGTTCAAACCCAGCTTGAACTACATAGTGAGACCTTGTCTTAAAACTCACTTAGCCGATTTGCTCAAAATTGAACTAAAGCATTATTCATGTGGGAAGATGTGTTCCAATCCAAACTGAATTAACTTAACAATTTTTGAAGGCAACATGTTAGTATATTGGGGGCTGTCAATTTTTTTCACACAGAGTAATGCATGGAAAGCAGCTGAGAGCCGCAGATGACTAACTATCCACTGGAATAGACCACTCCTCATCATAGCCCAAGAAACAGTCGTGGAAATAATGATGGGGAAAACACCGAGGGGCTAGAGCTTCTTAATCTCTTCCTTTCCTAAATCCCATTAAACTGCTGCCCTTAACAAGAGGTATTTTCTCCTGTGTGTCTCTTGTTTTCTTCACAGGACCAACTGGGGTAGGGGGTGAAATTGGCAGAGATGTCAATGACTCTGTTTGACTAATTGGACAATTCAGGCAAATGTCAGGTTGGACCTTTTTGTTTTTTGAGACTGGGGCTCACCAAATAGCCCAAGATCTCCAACACAGTTTCCCAGATCCTCTTGCTCATTAGCCACATTTAATATAAGCAGTAATCCCTTTCACGAAAGGCTATTTCTGTCATAAAACATGCCCATACAGTTACATGGCCCATGTGACTTTTCCCAGAGAGCCACGCCCCGTAAAGCTGTAGCTTCCTGGTTTGTTTAATGTGATCAGTGCCAGGTGGACCAGGCACATCCTGTTATGTTACAAACTGCAGACTGACAGCCATCCCACCAGTGAACACTATGGGTGTTCAAGAAGAGATCTTTCATTTACCTGTTTATAATGAGACTTGACCAAGTCGTCTTTCTTTCCAGGGAGTCTCTCAATATAAGGGACAAAATGGATTGCAAGCTTGGTGCTATCCCTTTCTTCCCAGCCAACAAGTGAAGAATGATTTGTTTTAATTTGCTTCTTTTATTAAACATTTTTCCCATTTCCAACAAAATTTTGTTTCAAGAAATACAAATAAGCAAAATAAGAATATTTAAGTCAGTCTAGGGATGTAGTTCAGTGGTAGAGTGCCCAGCCTCTGAGTACATACTGCAAATGGGAAATAATTATTTTTAAAAATCTACTGAATCTCCATAGGAATGTTAAGAATTGATAACACCACCTACTCCCTGCTCAGCACGATGGAAGCACAAATCTAGGCTGGTGCAGCCAAGAATGTGGCCCCATTTCCCCCAGCAGGAAACCGGGAGGGCCAGGCCTTGGATGCTTCTCCTCCCTGGCTGTGCCCTGCAGAAGCTCCAGCCCAGGGAAGACTGCCGGGAAGGCCTCGTGCTGTCCCGCTCCCCTCCTTCAACTGCACTTATATGGCTGTCACCAGCTAGGGCCCAAGGAAGTTCCCCAAAGAGGAAACGGGACCTCAACTCTTCACCTGCAGACTAAGTCTCCACACAGAGAAATAATTTTCATGACACGTCAGTAGGAAACACAGAAAATTTTTAAATTTTTATTAGTACATGTTTACAGTACATAATGTTTACATTCCTTGTGTGGCATTGGTGCATGTTAGCAGGAAAAAATGCGCATACTCAGAAGGGAGTCTGGGCATTTGAAGCATGAGATGCATTATGGTCTGGAGCTGGATGTATTTGTGTGGTCTTGGGGTGCAGGGTGTGTACCTCCTGTCTGCTGGGCCCCCCAGTAGCCAGGCTGTGTTAGAATGCAAACCACTTACGTGTGCTGGAAGCTGACACAGGCTCCCCACTTAATGGTGCTGCATCCTTGAGGAGGAGATCTGTAGGAGGAAGAGCAATTTACAGGTGAAAAGCATGGGGCAGGGCCTCATTTACAGGCTTATTTTATCTTTAAGACCTTTTGGAATTTTTTGAGTTTCCTGGAGAGGAAGAAGGCCTTGTAACTTTGAGTGTGTCTTAAAGCTGCAGTTTTTCTTAAAAGTACAATTTAAAAATTATTTCCTTTTCTCATTTCTACCTATCATTATTTCTTCTATCCTACCCCAGCAACACTCCCCTTCCAGTTTACTTGTGGGCAGAGAGGCCACATGAGGAAAGGCAAGCTGAGGAGGCCACAGGCTCCTCCCCACTCAGTATCCACCAAGGAGCGGAAGGGTCCCCTGAGAGAAGTAGGCCTATGCGAAGCTCTGGATCAGCTGCATAGAGGATTTTCCCAGGAGTTGAGGCAAAACCTAAGAACAGAAATCTCAGAACCTCTTTTCAATCGAATGACTCTATTTGAAAAAGAACGAAGGGAAGGCCACGTCCAAGGGCACTGTTGAAAACCATTGATATTTTATCAGTAAACAATGAAGAGGAGGCTGGTAGCTTTATGACAGCAATAAGTTAAATCGTAGACACTAAGTAGGAGATTAACATAGAGAAGCAGGGGAAAGGATGGCTGAGAACAGCTGTCTTGGGGTCAAAACAAACCTCAAAGACAGGCCTCAAAGACTATTCTTGCACAAGGGCCCAAATTATGTTAGACTACAGAGCAATTCATGTTTCACTGCGATATCAAAACAGTTGGGCAGTCAGTCAGCTAGGAGTCAGGAGAATGCAGCCTCTGGGTGTGCCACCAGCAGAGCTGGACAGCCTGGCAGAGAGAGGGACAGAGTCATAGCCCCATTGCTAGAACCACCGTCAGCCAAGGCCGAAGCCTCTGGGGAGGAAATAGACTTTCAGCCAGATTGCTGAACAAGTTGAGAAAATGACAAGAAAGTAACTTGCACCCACAAGAATAATGAAGCAATCCAAAAGGAGTGAATGGAGAATATCAATAGAACAAACACTGTGGGAAAAGCGTCAAAGCCCTTTCCCGTGAATACTGGCCCTTTATTTAATGCTGGAGCTCCGACAACAGTGCTGAGGAATTCAGCTCCATGGAAAAAATACAGCGCTGGAGCCCAGCCACCTGTCTTTTGGTCTCGAGCTCACCTCATTGTATATCTAAGGGTGGTTGTCACTCCCAGTTTGACTTGTGGTTTAAACTGACCACCCCAATTCTTGATTGCTCAACGGGGAGAATGTCAACTGTGATCTGAAGCAGCAGTCCTTCATGATGAAGATGATTTCCTAGCTTGGAAAAGACTACGGACAAACTCCAAGTCCATGAGCAGACAACATACTGTGGGTTCCTTGAGCGCGGTGACTCTGGTAACTGGAATGTGACCCTGGAATCTTATTAAATTGTCACAAGAAATGATAAGCCACCGTAAGGTAGAGGCCTCCAGGCCAGGGGAGCTCTAGTCCTGCCTCATATGTGAACACCCCTGCTGCAGAGGAATGAGCTGCACCGCCCTGCACTTGTGCTGCTTCCTGCACGATGCCTTACGGGGCAGCTGGGCCACGTGCATTCTCAGATAGTCTTGGGGCTCCATGTTTCACGATTCTCACAAAACCCCTGGAGGACACTGCTGATACTTTACTCCACAAAAGTGAATCGTCCCAAAAAGACTGCTTTGGAACCCACTTTTGTGACTAACGTATGAAGGCCATCTTTTGGTATTAATTTTCTCTATTATTTGTAATGATTGCATAATATCTATTATATGAATCTATCATAATTTATTAAACCCAGTATTAGACATAAATGTTTTTTCCATGTCAAACCACACATTAAAAAATTATGCAAGATGCCAAACAGCCTGATGTATCCATGATTATTCCAGGGATGTTCATGGAAATGAAAAAGTGATATACATTCTGCCTGAACACAGGCTTGTCTTGAAATTTCTACAAAAGCCTTCTGTGACTATGTCTTTGAGGTCAGTGCTTTCTTTTAAGCTCCTCATTTCTCTAAGTAAAGGCTTTATTTTTCAATGATCTAGTACTATATTTGTAATATTACCTAGGTAGCAAATATTAATTTCCAGAAAACTTCCATAAAATAAATCCACTTGATCAAGATAGATATACCACTTAATAGCTTTATAAATCTAATAGCCATGGTTTTTTGGTTTAGGTGTTTTTTTTAGAATTTAAAAAAATAAAATGAGTTTATAGCCTATACATTTCTTTTTCCTTGCCAGTGAAATTGGAACAAGGAGAAGTTTCTATGGTTCCTGAAGCAAGTTTATAAACCTTTCTAAAATTAGAAGTAATTTATAACTGAATGTTCTGTACAATACAGCTGTGTATCCATCTGGCCCTGGTGCTTTATTACCTGATATGCCTTGTAGAGTACTTTCTCAACATTTCTTTTCATCCACCGAGCCTATTTAATTTCCCTTTGCCTCTGGCCTCAGTAATTTCAAAACTCTATTTCATCCTTATGGCAAACACACAAAATGAATCCCATAATCCTATATACTATCTTCCAGGAATTACATTTATAAGGCCCATAAATCAATGGGAAACCTCCAAAAGGATTTTTCTTAAATTCTGTTAGGAATTTATTCACCCTGTCTGTGAGCTAAACTTTCGCTGATATTGAAAATTAGCTTTTGTCCTAAGTTGGAATGTGTCTTTTAGAATTGTAGATCTGTCTGCAGAGAAGTTGCCAATGTCCTCCAAAATTTCTTCTCAAAGGAGAGATGGGAGGAGGGCGTTTCGAGGGAGTTATTCACAGCCTTTCAAGGAGCAATATGAATAAATCAATTCAATAAGCATTTCAGTAGTCAAGCCCTCTGTGACATTGGGCCTAACAGTAATAAGGAAATAGTGGTTGCCTTTGTTGGATTCCAACAAGGCTAATATGGACAGCTGTCTCCCGGAAAGACCATAAATCCCAAGCCACGGCTGCCAAGTGCAGGCTCTGTCATCAGAGCAGACCAAGTGAAAGCTTTTGGTCCAGGGCAGGTACCTGAAGACACTCTGTGAGGGTCCCACATCCACAATCTACCGTACAGAAGACACAGCACAACCACAAGAGAAGCAGCGAGGTGAAATTATTTTGAATGTCTCGTGTAAGTCCAGAGGAGAGGAGCTACATATCCACTGTGTGTAAAATGCGAGTACGCTCAGAATAAACTGGATACTGAACTCAGCAAAACCTAAGAAAAACAGCACAGAGACCTTGGCAAGGTGGCATGTCCAAATGAGAGACAGAGGGGAGTCTGTGGTCTGTTCAGGTCACTGCACTGTCCACAGCTCCAACAATAAAAGCAAATCATCATTTAGTCTCGATGCCTGTGGAATGAAAAAGCAGGTAAACTGCCTGGGGGGCCTCCTATACCTGGAGGTACAATATTGCACATTCTAAAATCAATCTTCACCACAAAGCGGAATCATCTACTTAAGGTTTGTGTTTAGTTTTCTTAAAATTTCACAAGGAAAAGAAGTTTGAAGGGGCTAAATTATCTACAGTGTTCTCTTCCACTCAAAGCAATTAACTACACAGCTAATAATGCCTTCCTTT